TCTGTGCAACCCTGGGCAAGTCACTTAACCTCAGTTTGTTTCCTCACAATAGCACCTAACTTCTTAGTAGATTGCTGCATTATTTATTTATGTGTGTGTGTGTGTGTGTATACATACATACATATATATGTGTGTGTGTGTATATCATAATAGCACCTATTTAGTTGTATTAAATAATATTTGTTAAGTGTTTAGCACAGTGCCTGGCATATATTAAGTACTTAATAAATCCTTTCTTCCTCCTTCCTCCGTTGTTGTCAGGATCCATCTAATGCCCCCAGTTTCCTCACTGTCTTCTTGTGAAGTTGTAGTCTTGGCCTAGCTGAAGACACTTTCTGGTGCTTTTCTTTGGATTTTTTGATCGTTATTCAATCCAGTGCTCATTTTAGAGGTTAACTGGATTATATGTGGGAGAATGAGGCTCCTCTCCCAACTTTCATATTGCCATTTTAACTGAAAGTCAGCAAACCAGTTTTCATGTGATGTTTGGGGGGGCAGATAACTGAGGGAAGAGCTCTTCAGGAGTCATTACCTATGCCAGCTCTTAGAGCAATCTCTATACTAGTTCTTAGGGCTAGGGCAAAATGGAGACCCTTGGAGTTGCCCATGATAACCCGTGTAGTTGATACCAAACAATACCAGGCCCCAGGCAGGAAGGGTGAGTTATATATTTCCTAATTATGGAAATGAGAGGCCAAGGTATTTTATGACACCAGTTCCTCTTACAGCAGTCCCATGTAACAAAGTTGTCTTGCTGATCACTGCATCTATCAACGTGGTGGACCAAGTCACCAGTCTTTGGTGGTGGTGTGATTGTTAATGATTTTTGTCTGTTTCTATAGCTGAGCCAGGCAGAACAGTTCACTTTCACCTGAGAATGGAGTCCATTTTACCTCCACCATCCTTCCCTTAAGTGAGGGTCAAGAGATGGGAGATACCTAAGAAAATCTAGGGTCCAACCTTGATTAACCAAGTTCTTGGGTATACAGTAGAAGGGAAGAAATGAGATGACTCCCAGACATAACTACTCAAGCTCCGCAGCACAAGCAGCATCAGTGATAGGCACCAGCAATAACATGCCCTACCTAGGCCACAGAGCACTGCTGGCAGTGTTTATGAATAGATAGGACTTTGCTAGAAATTACAGCTTCCAGTCCCAGCCCTGATGTTCTGCCTCCTCTGTTAGACCAGAAGGGCCCTGCCTAACAGGACCTAACTTAGAAGGGTAGTGTTTTCTCTGGTTCATTAGTAGGTCGGGCCTGATGTGAGGGAGGCACATGCAATCTGACCTTGCATCCATCAGTCTAGCAGCAAAGGCTACCTTAAGGGATTGAGGTCTTGGCAAGACTGACTAGTTGGTTGAGCTGTAAGCCACATTACTGGCATGATAGCCCTGAGAGATCTAGTAGATAAGATCTTCATCTATATTGATTCCTGGGCAGTGAACTAGGGATGAGGACCTGCATAATTAAGAGTATTCCGAGGCAGCTAGGTGGCACAGCGGGATAAAGCACCAGCCCTGGAATCGGGAGGACATGAGTTCAAATCCAGCCTCAGACCAAACACTTCACACTTACTAGCTGTGTGACCCTGGGCAAGTCACTTAACCCCAACTGCCTAAAAAAAAAAGTATTCCCCTTTGGAATCAGGAACAATGGAGGAACTTTACCCACGCCTCCTTGTGTGTCGAATTGTAAGGCATGTAGACATTCATCAGACATCATAATGCTCTGCTGAACTGAACAACCAGGTCCTGCCTGCCCTAACAGGAATGACAAGAAGCTGAGTAATGGGTCCACTGCCAATCTGGACACGAAGGGCCAGGATCCTACTAACAGCTAATTCTGCCCAATGGCTGCTTGGGTTAATTGCAACATCTGCCTATATTTTGTGTGGTTCTCTGGCTGCCTTTGACTAGTAAGTTAGCCCACTTCTCCCATCTCAGGGTAATAGGTTTGTCCCTAGTAAACATCACCTTTGTCATCATGCCCTTACTAGGATTGGGCCTCCAACCTCCCACAAACTGTGTGTGTGAATCAGCATCAAACCCAGGAAGAGTTTCTTCTGTTTGGTTTCAGGAAGACTTAACAGGAAGGACATATTTTTAGCTACCCCTCCCCAGCCCTTCCTAATTGTGCACATGTGGAACTGCCCAGGTCTCAAGGCCCATGCACCTTCCATAGCTTACGTCTTCCACAATTGTTCTGACAATGCCTTCTCATAAAGTGCTTTGGAGCTCTGTCCTTTTCTTAGCTAGATCATTATGTACAGTTAACTCTTAAATTACTGTAGAGTTTATCAAGTTTCATTCTAATCCTTACTGCCCATAATATCTCAATAGAAAAAAAAATTAGTCAGGACTTGAAAAAGGACAAATACCTAGGTAGAATGCTATTTAGATTTATTGCAGTAATACAATATAAGTTTAGAAAACATTTGTGCTTAGTTGTAATTAGTTTGGAAGTTGCAAAGTAAATGGTAATTTCTATATTATTACATTGCAAAGAGCTTTCAGACTTATTTGAGTTTTTCAGCAAAAAAGTAATTTAGTGTTCTTTTCTCATAATCACCCAAAATGAACCAGTCAATCACACTCGATATTGACACTCCATTTTTATTCCCTGTTAACTTACACATGTGCAAAACATTTTAAAAATTATATATTCTATTACAAAAAAATTTCTCAAACACAGCCCATTTCAAACAACCTTTTTGGTGTCTGTGGATTTTACTACATTGTTTCAATAAATGATTTTAAAATGGAAAACATGACACATACCAAGTTCTATGGCTTTTCATTTTAAAAAATACCAGCTTCGATTTTTAATAAACTGTTTACAAATTTTTTTTTTTTGCACCTCATAAGACAAGATTTAAAGAAGCAGAAAGAAGGGTGGGAAAAAAACCCCAGTGGTTAAAATGTGTATGTAAGAGAATGCTTATGTGATGGGTCAATGCAAAATAATGAGAAAAAAAAAATCTCCGAAGTGAGAGCCTAACAAGCAAGTGTTCAGTGAACACCAAAGGATCATCTATAACTACATAAAGTGCTTCTAGTTAACAGTAATAACAAAAACCCCTCTGTTTTTAAAGTTTTGCTGATTGCTCTGAGTAAGGATATAATATAAATCAGTTTCCTTATCTCATTCATGGCCTCATTATAGACTCAATTGAGAGTACCATGATTACTGACTATTGGTTAAACAATGTATTCAACTAGAGTCAACTTCCTTTCCAAACTCCACCAATTAGCTGATCCTCCACTCTGGTCCTAACTAGCCGTCCCTTTTGTCTGAAAGCTTTTTGACTCCCATCTAACAAGATTTAAATGTCTTTGGTTTTTTTGTTTTGTTTTTAAGTCTACCATTGTCATTTTCTATGAAAAAAAAAAAAGTAGACCCAAAATCATGAAGTTCTGACATAAACCAAAGGTGGATAAACCCGCTATATAAAAACACCCAGAGCTCCCTAGCATGAACAGTCTCCAAAGGTCACTGAGACTGATCTCCTAGACAGAAGTGAATTATAGCACACCCTGGGTTTTTCTACCAAGTGGTAATTACATTGACATTAGGAAAACAATCATGCATCTCATCCTCTTGTTTGGAGGCGAAGTACCACTATATATATATATATATATATCCCCCCCCTTACCCCCCGAAAGAACGGAAATGGGAAGAGCAAGCCTCAGAATTAATTCTCTGAGGCATCTTGGCCTAACCACACCAGAAAAACAAAAAAGACAATGATGTCAGGTATTTCCATGGGAATTTTTTTTTCCTTGTGTATTAAAAATCTTAAAACTACATACACATTTGTGAATAAAGGCTTTTCCTCACCAGTCTCCTTGACAGATTGTCATGGAGAGAATGACAAGACAAATCTCACTGGAAAAAAAAAAATCTCTTGTTCAGAGAATATTTTTTATTTGCTTTCTCCATGATGGAGAAAAAAAAGTCTCAGTGTTCTGAAGGACAAACTTTGAATTTCTGAAGTCTCACTGAGCAAAGATAGCATCTTCAAAGCAATAAAGATTTCTAAGAAACTGACAAGTGGGATGGCTCTCCTTGGGAGCACTTGCCATCGAATTATATCACTGAAAAATGAATCTTGCAGTGGAAGAAACCACCAGAGTGACCACCTAATTAAGGGGCCTTTTAGCTAGTGCACAAATTAGGCAGACCCACTACTAACAGAAAACGAACTTGGGTTTCAAAACACACAGTAGCGAGGCCAGCAGGAATTGAATTCGTAGCTAGCCAATTGAGCTTAAACAACTATGTATAAAAGAAAATAGATTTTTAAAAATCTAGAACATTATTGCAAGTGTCTACTATCTCTTCTGTCTGTGGCTATGGGTCCTAAAGAAAATAAATCCAGTGTTTCTTTGGTGTGTGGGTAGTAAAAGAAAGATGACAACCAAGTGCTGTTACATAAAATTTCAGATAATCTGAAAAAGCAGCACAAATGAACTCATTTCAATTAAAAAAAAAAAAAAGGTAACCCATGATAACCAAACTCTAAAAGCAATCAATACTCTAAATTAACACACTGGCTCTTTGTACAAAATATGTGGGCACAAAAACTAGCAATTATGTTAAAAATGTTTAAGTTGTGAGTTTTCACCAATAAAGAATGACTTAAAAATATGTGCGAATATAGTCATTTCCCTACATATTAATGAGAAGATAACAGAACTTTCTGTTATTACTTTTTAAAACTAGAGTTCTGAGAACTACTATCCTCAGTATTGTCAATAAAACAAAAACCAAGTTTCCAAAATTTCTTTTCTCTTGTGATAAGTGCCCCAATTTATCCCTCAATACGGAACAACTGGCCACTTGTGCAAAGTTCATCATCTTCAATGCTTCCCCAAGGATATGTAGGTTGTGAAGTAGGTCATGAGGATTCTGAATCTACCTAATTTACAAAATGTTATCATCACAGTCAATCTTTGTAAATAAAAATGTTTAACTTTAATAAACGTTTGTTGAATTGAATTCTGCTTTTAAAAAATTAGTTTATTTATTTTTTGTTCCAGACACTACTTAACTGAATAGGTAAAACTACACATTGTGGGAGAGAAATTTTCACTATGCAAATCTATCACTGTCTCTTTGATGCTCGCTAGCGATGTCCTGTGTAAGCCTTGAACCACGATGTCACTGAGGCTGCAGCAGAGGAAATCATTCCCCCAGCACTACTGCTAGCAGCTGGCTGGGACACCTGTGTGCTATGACTCTGCAGCACTTCGACTGGCTGAGAAGGAATATCACAAAACCTGGGGCTCGGCAGATTTTCCCAGTCTGTTCCTAGGTCAGTTTCTTCATCACTGATATGCTCGTCTCCACTTTCATCTGTTTCTCCAGCAGCTGCAGGATCCAAAAATTCCATGGAATCTTCAAGATCAGCACTGACTTCAAAGGGCCCAGACCTGTGGACACAGGGATATACGCCCCTTTAGCACAGCTCCTGGAAAACGTGCAACAGCACACCTTTTATATGTAATTTTACTTATGAGATGTGGAAAATTAGAAGTGATTATGTAACATAGTTTTTACTCTATCATCTTGTATTTGTTCCCCTGTTTTTTAACTGAGGTTCGCACATTCCACATTCCACACAGGTGACAAACAAAAACCTCATTCTACTCAACAACATTTTTTTTCAAAGGAGGAGGCAAGAAAGAATACCTATACTGACAAAGAATGGTAATGCCAGTACCTTACAGTCTTACAGAGTGGCCTTACCACTTTTAGATTGTCATTCTGGGGGGTGCCATTTTAATAACTCCATTTAAGTGTCTCATAAAGGTCCTAAGAAAAGAAATTATCAAATATTGGGCAATTTTGTTGGTTATTACAGTTCTCGAAGGCCAAAAGCTAGCCATTCCAACTCTTATGGGAAAAACATAAAATTACTTACTAAAATCTAATGACATTTCTTTTGAGTCATATCATTACTTTATGGATGAGGAAACTGAAATATCATGAGACTCGGCACCTTCCAAAGAAAAAATGTCTTATAAGACTGAGGTTAGTTCCACATTCTCATTTTCTCTCTGCGACCCATGACTTAGGTCACTTCTGAACTAGAAGTTATTTTTCTTGGACTACTGTAATGCAAGGTTAATCTCTGACTGGTATTAGTAATCATGGAGGGGGATGGGAGAAGAGACTTCCTCAGAGAGGCTAATCCTATTTTAGATAGCTGTATTTATTAAGAATTTTTTCTTTATTGCAAGCCTTAATCCACCTCTTAGCAACCTTTACCCATTATTCAAGTTCTACTTCCTGAGCTTGAGCAGAGTAAGTCTAATAACCTCTCTTCCACATGACAGCCTTTTAAATACTTGAAGGTATCTATTTCCCTTGCCTTCTTTAAGGTTCTCTAGTTCCTTCCACCTATTCTTGTATGGCATGGCTTCCATGCCCTTTCTCACCTGCCTGCCATTCTCTAATATGTCCTAAGTTGACAACATCCTTCCTAAAACGTGGCACGACAACTAAGTACCCAGTGTGATCTGACCAAGACAGTCAAGGAAGTCAATAAGCATTCATTAAATGCTAGACCAAAAATAGTCTCTGTGCTCAAAGAACTTATGTTCTAATAGGAAGACAATATATAAAATGGAGCTAAGGGCACTGACAGGTACCTGAGAAGGGGTATAGCAGAGAAATCTGGAGAATGAAAGATGGCTGATCTGGGCCATTCCTTAAAACTGAGGTTCCAGGAAGAATTTAGCAGTGAGAGAGAGGGACCATGTGACAGAGGAACAAGGCAGCTGAGGCATGGTGGTGAAGTCCAGAGAATGAAAGACGGCTGTTCTGAGTCCATCCTCAAATTGAAGCCACATTAGAGTGTTCTGGATTCTATGCCTCTCTTCAGGCTCCCAAACACCACATTGGCTTTTTTGGCTGCATGTCACATTGGTGAGTTATACTGAACTTGGTATCCTACCCAGAACTTTTTAAGAATTACTGTCTAAGTTCACGTAACCTATATCATACTAGTAAGGTTGACTTTTTAAAAACTCAAGTGTATGACTTACTGAATTTCACTGCATTGTTCTAATTTGGTGAGATCTTCTTAGATGCTCTTTTACCCAATACTATTAGTTACCTTTCCTAGATTCTGCAAATATGAAAACTTTTTCAATCTTTGCCCTATGTTATAGATTTCCATGTCCATCCAAATGTTCAGAAGGGAAAAATAAAAAGAATTACATCTTTTTTTTCATGGTTTCCACCCCTTCAGAAATGAAGAGATTTTTAAGTGAGTTATGTTCTGCATAATGTCAAGGCAAGGCTGCATGGGAGGAATACCCAAGCAAGTGATCATAGCAGCAGTAGACAAAATGAAAAGAACTCATTGGGGGCTGAATTTGAACACTGCATGGCCTGAATGTGAATGACCCACACAAATGTTACCCTTAAGCATTGTGGGGTAGCAGAAATTTCAGTTCAGCTAGTCTTCCCAAAACCGAAGCTAGAAGTCATTATACAAACAGGGATAGACTTTGACTTTGGTATATGAGTGAAAAGGAGCGTCATTTCTTACCTGCCCAAGTGTTCAGTAGCTGGGCTGACCAGGTACATTAGATTCCTGAGTGTATGTAGTGGGTGCAATAGGTCTAAATTTACGTGCTAGAAAAAGCAATACAAAGAAGAAACATGAGTATCTGCGAACTCTGCCACCCCAACGTCAGAGGTCACCCCACAAACGCAGTTTCTGTACCTGAGAAAAGCAGAGGTAAAGAATGTTTGCATTCAACTTCTTGACTGCACGAGTAAACTTCCGCCGGCTAAGATTCTCTCCACAAAACTCACTGTAAAATAGAGCGGATGAGTATAGGCATAGCACCTCTCTCAAAACAAAATGACTATTTGGTTCAATCAGAAACATACCAAGATTCTCAAAAGTTCAATACTGCATATACCTTTTCTCCTTTCCTTAGAACTATATTTTCTGTTCCTTGAACATTTTTAAAATTTCTGAATTCCTAGTTTTGAGAAACTACTCACCCTGAATGAAAGCATGTCTCAACTTTATAGTATTTTCATTATATTATTTTTCCATTGTAGGCATACTATTTTTTTTCTTAAGCAGAGAACTATCTGTTATCTCCTTAGACCTTTTGTGTGTATTAGGTATACGCTAATTCTTGTGCATGACCAGTTTTATTATTCCAGAACACCCTCTCACAATTTCTTAGACCACATTCAAGATGAATGAAATAAAAATTTATAATCTTACTTGCATGGAATAACTACAATAGATTACAACATTGAAATGTATGTGACCCATAACAAATAAGTGTATCAGACATCATCCAAACTCAAATTACTTGCCTGTTACATAATTTTTTGGGAAGATTTACATCAAGTATATGAGACAAAATGTTGACCAGCTGAGTTGCATAGCACAGGGCAGCACTGATGGTGTAGGCAGGGTTATTATGTTCCATATCTAAAGCATAAAGAAGATGACAAGAGGGGAAAAAAACAGTTGATTAAATCTGGCATTCTTTACTTCTAACTTGTCATCATAGCCTACACCCATAACAATCTTATGACTGGGGAAAATAGTTCCATTGATCAGGCTGCCTTGCTTTGGTCCAGACCTAGGGTTACCGGGCTAGGGATCTCCTCCTACCAGTGCAGGTCAGTAGCTACTCTGTTATGTAGAGTCCTAAAAAGATGCCCAGGCACACTGAGAGGTCACAGAATATTTCGTGGGTGTGTGTGGGTGTGGGTGTGTGTGGGTGTGGGTGTGTGTGTGTGAGAGAGAGAGAGAGAGACAGAGAGACAGAGGGAAAGACAGAGAGAGAGAGAATAGGTGGCTTGGTAGATAGTACTGGGCCAGGAGTCAGGAAGACTCATCTTCATGAGTTCAAATCTAGCCCCAGACATGTACTAGGTGGGTGACCTTGGATGACTCACTCAGCCTTGTTTGCCTTAGTTTCCTCATCTGTAAAATGAGCTGGCAAAGGAAATGGCAAATCACTCCAGTGTCTTTGCCAAGAAAACCCCAAATGGGGTCATGAGGAGTCAGATATGACAAACTACAGAACAACAAAAGCATCTGAACCCAAGTCACCCTCAAGTGGATGTCAGGTCTCTATCTACTCATGCTCCCTCAGGGATTGATTACTAACTGTCAGTTAATAAATACTTATTGAATGACTGGTGTAAAAGTTTAGGGGCCTGATTCTTTGATTAAGTATAGCTATGTTCCAGGCACTGTTCTACATAGGTCCGAGGGATACAAATACAATGAATGAAACAATCCCTGTTCTCAAGGAGCATATTATGGTCTAATAGGGAAACAACAAGACACATGTAGCCATATACAGAATTAGCCCTAAGGGCTTAAAACTGCACCAAAGACTTTTGGGACATCCTGCATAGGGATGATAAATTCAAATGAATACAAAGTTAGAAAGTTAGTTTGAGAAAAGGATGGCACCAGCCACTGAGGTAACCAGTAAAGGCTTCACATAGAAAGTAATTCTTTTAAGATTTGCAAAGCATTTTATATATTTCACATGATATTCGTAACAACCTTGTGAGGCAAGTGCTGTTTTAATCTTCATTTCGTATTTCATTCAACCTAACTTAAAATCAATTCAAGTGTAGAGTGGTCATTTTTATCCCTTTTTAATAGCTAACATTTATATAGAGTTTACTATGTGCCAGGGACTGTGCTAAACACTTTACCATTATTACCTCATCTGATCTTTGCAATAACCCTGGGAGGTAGGTACTATTATCATCCCCATTTTACAGATGAGGAAAATGAGGCAAACAATGTGAAGTGACTTGCCCTGTGTCACATAGCTAGTGTCTGAGGCTGGATATGAACTCAGGTTTTCCTGACTCCATACCTGGTGCTCTAGCCACTGTGCACAGCACAAGTGCTCTTTTTACTAAAGGGCTAGATTGTTTTTTTGCCTACCAAAGAAACTTTAATTAAAATATTAATAATGACATCCTCAATATAATTTTAGCTCCATTTTGGCCTGCTTCATAATTTTGCTACCTTACCAGGGCAGAAGCTACATAATAAAACAGAAATACACATTTTCTTCAGACTAAAAAGTTTGGAAACTTTTAAGAATTATTAAAGTTTTCCAAGAGAAAACATGTTTTTTCTTACCAGGTCCCTGTGTTGTTTTTTTCTCTTCTACCCAGTTGTAGTAAGCAGAATAGTCTCCATTGTTAGGGAGACTAATCCATGGCCCTGCAATGCTAATGCTTGTATCTCCATTGTGGTCATCACAAACCCATCTCCCAGAGAGGTAAGTAGTCCTCCTGGCTTCTGCAAGCTTGCTCACAGTGCTGGAGGTCATGGCAGTGTCACTCTCTGAAGCAATATCTGCAGGATCTCTGAAAATTAGGAAAAGCACATGTTTGATGACTAATATGGAAATAGGTTTTGCATGACTGCATATGTATAACTTATATCAAATTGCTTACTGTATCAGGGAGGGAGGAAGAGAATTTGGAACTCAACAGTAAAAAAAAATCAACATTAAAAATTGCTTTTACATATAATTGGAAAAAGACAAAATATTTTAAAAAGACATATGTTGGAACACTTAAACATTTACCAAAAACTAAGACTAATTCCCATTTTTCAATCTTCAAATCTTAAAAGAATTATTTCACATTCCATGGGTGTTTTATTTACTACTTTCTCAACTTCTGGATACACTATCAAATTTTAGGTACAAAGAGAGAAAAAACATTCTGTCAGTTGAACAGATAGCTATTAGATTTACCTATACTTGTATCCTAGAGGGTGGCTTTTATGTTAAGGTAGTGTCCCTCAGGAGGCTCCTACTTGGACATAAACCTTTTCTGCTGAGGATTATTATTTAAAAAAAAAAAAAGCATTGAATTAAGGGGTGGAGCCAAGATGGCAGAGGGAAAGCAGTGACTTGCTTGAGCTATCCCCCAAACCCCTCCAAATACCTATAAAAAATGGCTCTAAACAAATTCTAAAGCCGCAGAACCCACGAAAAGGCAGAGTGAAACAAATTTCCAGCCAAAGACTGCCTGAATGGTTGATCAGAAAGGTATATCGTGCCGGACGGGGAGAGGAGCACAGTACAGCATGGGCACGCAGGCCGCAGCAAACCTGGAACAGGCCTAAGAGGACTGAATCGCAGGCAGCTGTGGCGGTTTCCAGACTTCTCAACCCACGAATGCCAAAAACAACTTAGGAGGTCAGTGGGAAAAGTCTGTGACTACAGTGAGAGAAGGAGCTAAGTCTCAGCTGCCCTCAGGGCCACGGCTGTTTCCTGAGCTTCCAGCCCACAGACTGAGGAGGAATCAAGTGGCTAATCAAAGGGGGATTGCAGGGATCTCTTTGCCAGTGCTGAGGCAGGAATCTCTTGCTTTGCGTGTGCTTGGATCTGGGTCACAGTTCTGAGGGGCAGTCCTGGGGTGAGGAGGAGCGCTGGTGTGGTGAAGTTTGTTGTGGTGGTAGAGAGGAAACACCTCCCCTCTTATCATAGCACTTTGGAAGAACTGAAAATTTTCAGGTCCCTAGAGGTATCTCTGAAAAC